CGAAAATAACTGGTTGCGAAATGCACTACAACAATCTTTCTTCTACAGCGGTAAAAATTAATAAAAATGCGACTCTATAAGCACGTACCAATAGAAATGCAGTTTCCCATGAAGCTCTAGCGAAACTACTACGTGATTGTGTTAACGTGTTTATATATACGGAGATAGCGTTGTGCAAAACATGACTTCAATCGCAATTAACATGTAGATAATCTTTTATTACATTTAAAATTGGCCTTATAAAAATTCGTGCAATAATTATTGTATTATTTTACTAGTTTAATACCTGCTCTCCTTCTGGACGACAAGGAAATTAAAAAAAAATCTGACGATATCTTTAAAAGATTTCCTGGGTTATAAAATTATACTAGTAGCTAAGTGTAGGATACACATATCGCTTTCTGTTGACTTTAAGTGGAAAAATATGGAACGCTTTACGAATTCGCGTGTCATCCTTGCGCCAGGGGCCGTGCTACATGTAATCTTCTCTGTATCGTACCAATATTAGTATACGTCCCACCCTAGCGAGACCTGGTGTAGGTCTGGTACGAACCGTTCAATCTTTGTATTGCGTTTTGCTCTAAGTAAGTTTAAAACGTAATGTCCTATTTCGAGACCAAGCGTGACTGAATTTGTAGAAATGTAGGACATCATTTGATTTGTATAAAAAAAGATCATTACGCCTAGCGTTAAGAAAACTCGTATTTCTTAGAAAAAAATGTTTACTGAATACATTAAAATGTATCGTATTTTACTTATTTTCTTATACATTTATACAAAACATACAAAATTTTAATGTATTCGGCTACCACGCGCAATACATTCTAATCGTCGTCACGAGCGCACGATGTAACATAACAAGTCAACACGATGGTGCTTGGTTAAATAATGTTGTGTAATGTTTCTAAAATGGGCTTTAAGAAGTTAAGTCTTTGACATTATCAATGCATTTAAAATTTTTCAGCGTAGAGAATATAGGGATAAAAGCAAAGACAACTTTCTTGTAAAGGTATGTGCCTGCACTCTGTTTTTTTAAGTAGAATTCCATTCATGTTTTATGTTTTGGTGTTTTTAATGTTTTCTTTATACTCCGAAAAGAACTTTGCTCTATTTTGAAAGCTGGTAAGATGGTCGATACATCGCCGAATACCACTGGACTAAATACTGCAGAACACGACGGGTATCCCAATGAAGGATTTGAGAACGATACAATAGACGGTGACTCGCATGATGACAACTCTGATAGTGATGCAAAAGAACGTAGTTCTAAACGGTTTGAGGAATTAAGCGAGAGAGGTGCAGGAAAAGGGAATGGCTATTCAGGTAATTTATTCAACTGCTTTGGTGCAGTTTGAGAACGTGACGCTCCCTCGCTCACTTGTTTTTTAAGGAGTGCCTTCAGTGCAGCGTTAAAACGCAATGGGTTCCATACTGAGTGTCTGAGCAAACATTTCCAGGTCTCGGTTTCAAACACACACACACACACACACACACACACACACACAAACACACACAAAAAAAAAAAAAATCAGGTTCCTTTGCTAAGAACTTAATTACCAAAGTTACATGGTCACATGGTCACATCTCACCCTATCAGGAGCAGTGATAGAGCACTCATGATAATCCTAGTCAGCTAAGCCAGGGAATTGACTTAAGTTTTTTTTTTGATGAAACTGGGACTAGCATTAAACCCCAAGAATTGACGTGGTCTTGAAAAGGAAAATATGCAGTATTAATTTAAGGACTCTCAGTGCTCGCATGGTAGTATCTATCTCCACTTAAGCGTGTTTTAAATGGGATTTCAGTTTAACTTTCCTCCTTTGAGGCTTGGTGAAAAATGCTCTGTTTTTTGCAGATAAACAAAGTATGTCAGGGTCGTCTGCATGGAGATTTATAGATTCAAGACAACCATCGACGGAAGAAAACTGCGGAGTTCAGACCGACCGCTGCATCGATTGGCTGGTGGTCTTGGCGTCCTTCTTTATTCACTTTATTGTGGGCGGGATTTTATATACTTTCGGTGTGCTTTACATCACCCTGCTAAATGAATTTGAAGAAACCAAGTCAGAAACGTCTTGGGTTGGCTCCATTCAAGTAGCTATGACCTGGGGCATGGGTAAGGTATATTTAACGCATGCCCTGAAACCATTCGAATTTACAGATTTGCTCACAAAATCACGCATTGTCGATGTTTTGTGTTGATATTAATAAATACGTGGTATTAGTGCTGGTCGGTCTCTAATTTTAGAGTTAATACAAACCACAAAAATTAAATTTGACGATCAAATCAAAAGCGATATTTGGGTGATTTTTGCCAGCCTAAATCGCATTTCAACGATTGAAATATATTTCAGACAAATTTCAAATATGTATTCAAGGTCCAGTAGCTAGCGCCCTTTCTGACAAAATTGGACACCGGGCTGTTGGAGTCGTTGGTTCTATTCTGGCTGCGACGGGGTTTGGCGTGAGTTCATTAGTACCGAATTTGTCGTTCCTGTACCTAACATACGGGGTAATAACTGGCCTCGGATTTGCACTGATGTGGTTTCCAGGCATTGTCTCCGTTCAGGGTCATTTTGAGAAGAGGAAAAGTTTAGCCATGGGAGTTGCAGTGTGCGGATCAGGCGTTGGGACATTTGCTATGGCACCTTGTATAGAATTTCTGATTAAAACCATTTCTTGGAGATACACTTGTCTTGTACTGGCAGGGTTGTCTCTTTCAGGAGTTGGCATCAGTATTTTGCTTTTTCCATCGGAATTAAAAATCAATGAGGGAAGTAAGACAGAGCCAACCTTATCATGCTCTAACAAAACGAGAAAGTGTTTCAAAAACATGTTCCACATCTCCCTGTTACGAAGAGCTGATGTTGTGGTGTGGCTAGTGTGTCATTTAATAATCCAAGTAGGGCTCGTTGTGCCTCACACGTACATACCAGATATAGCTGTAGGTATGGGGATAGAAGTAAATAACGCGGCGTTCTTGGTCTCCATCGTAGGCATTACTAGCACGGTGAGTCGAGTCGTGATGGGTGTAATTGCAGACTTTCGGTGTGTTAACAGGCGATATATGCTTGGGACCAATGTTATGATTGCAGGGGTCATGGTTGCCATACTGCCGTTTATGAAGGAGTACGGCGTGATTGCAACAGTGTGCACGTTTTACGGGTTATCATTTGGTGAGTGGATTTATGATTATATTTTTTATTCATTCTTACGTATCTTGTGTAAAAGCATGGTTATAGACAACTAACAAAAGTAAACAAGTTGTATTTTTCACACGAATCACTACTACATGCAAGTACAGGTATACATGGACACACGAGGTCTTTCTTATTGCATTTGAATTTCTATTTAACTGGGGCGACGTTGCGTTTGTATATTCGTGTACATTAAAAAATGTAACAGCAAAAATAAAACCAGGAAATCCATCTATAATATTCTGCTTTTCATTTGCATAAGTCAATGGTGTCTAACATACCGGATACATATTCTCAGTCATATTTTAACAGAGAATCATATCTTCCCAGCACAATTTATTCTTGAAAAAATGTATCAACACAAACCTCCTATGAACGTTTAAATGATCACACCACACAAGTAAAAAAAATCTGCTCTTCCTACAGGCATCATTATCTCCCTGACCGCTGTTGTTCTGAGAGATCTAGTAGGCATCGAGGAACTTGGACCTTCATTTGGACTTACCATGTTAGCCAAAGGTTTGGGTTCCCTCTTGTTATCTGCTGGAGGTATGTAGCGAAATGGGATAGAGAAGATTGGCTCATTCTTTTTTCTCTGCAAGGCATATGTTCATAGTAGAACAGACTAAAGACGTACTCTTTGTTCCGTTTGTGGCCTATCCTGAAAATGTTATCAAAATCCGTTCATGACATTTTTTGCGTGAGGCTGAGTACAGGCAAACAAACAAACTACAGTAACAGAACCAAAAACATAACTTCCTTGTCGGGGGTAATAATAATAATAATAATAATAATAATAAATACAGTTATTATGTATGCTGAAAATATATCTAATTTTATTTTCTACTTCATACCTGATTTTGTCACGCCGGGCATTTAAATACATTTTTTTAGAAGAAATTAATTTAGAAAGTGATTAATGACATTTTTATTTCAGGCAGTTTGTATGATTTATTCGGCTCCTATGATGTCACCTTTTATATTACCGGCTCTCTATTATTCGTTGCCGGTGGAATTCTTTTGTTGTTGCCATGGATACGTGAGCTCCAGGGGCGATGTTGTTACCATGGCAGCGCAAATATCACCACAGAAACTGGGCCTTGAATAAATGGCAAATGCAAGTGCACGAGGATTGCTTTGTTGAAACTCCAGAACACAGTTTTGAAATTGTTCACTTTATGATTAATTTGCCTAAACCATTTTTTTTAATTTTGTGCCTCCTTTAGCCTTTGATATTTTTAATCGTATCTGTAAATTGAATGATATTAGGTTTTGGCTTTTACCTCATTATAGAAATATTTTAATTCTGCTCCCTTTGGGTTTTCGCCTTTTAAGTAAAGCGTTGGACAGCATGAGATGCTTAGATTAGGATTTATTTCAGCAAGTTTATCTGTTTAAATACAATATCCTCTTCACTGAAAAGTTTTTATTTTTTTAATTTTATTTATTTATTTATTTATTTATTTATTTATTTTATTTATTTTTTTATTTATTTGTTGCGCCGGTCATTATTTGTAGTTGATTGATGTTTTTGTAATGTTTTAGTCATTATTAAAATCTTCAATTCAGTTAAATCCATACTCAGCTAGACGCTGTGGTGGCAGAGCACAGTTATTTGTTTTACAGGAAATACGGCAAAACTCGATTCTCTTAGAAAGTAATTTGTAAAACCTTCATTACTTGGCATTGTGAAAAAATATACTTAAGGTCGAGGACAAAATGTGTAATTAAAATAAACGTGCATCTCGTAATATCCCTTAAGCGCATTCTAATGTTTGTTATTATTAAAAAAACTTGCAAATATCATCTAATAAGGTTGATATTTTAAAAACTTCCGTTCATGAAACAGTTGACACCTTCGTTACTACATTCGAAAGTTTCCCCATGTACTTGCCAGACATGCATTTTTCCATGATTTACATAAAAAGTTAGATTTATCACTTTTTGTCAACTAAACTTTAGAAAAAGAGTTATTACTTCTTGTCACCAGAGATTGAGAAAAAGAAGAATTCGCGAATATACCTTTAACATCAGTTTTCACTTTAACATCAGTTTTCACTTTTTCACAACGCACTTTGGTGGACAGTAGGGTGCTATTGTCTGAGAAAACTATCCATGGAATCTTCAGATTTTTGCATAAAAGTAAGTTGAAAACTTAATGTCATATTTCTAGCCCAAGTTTAAAGTAGGCTTAACTAAATTAGGAGAAGTTTAGGACATTGATACTTTATATGTAAAATTTCTTAACAAATAGTGAGTACTTACACTTTGGGGTTTCCTTTCATATGAAATTGAGGTCAATCGGTGCATTTGAAAAGGAGTAGCAGCCACGAAATGCTGACATCAAAATCTCTCTATATGCCAAATATTGTAGCCCTTTTCTGCGTATCATTGTAAGGAACGCGGTGGCGCCCCTTAGCATGTGCCACGCCCCATAAGATGTCGCGCGCCTCTTGTAACCCCTCTCTAGTGAGATTTGATGATATGTTTAGTTTATAGGTGTAATATTTCAATAAGACACGTAAGGTAGAACTGAATATAAATTGGACTGGTGGTGGGTAGAGTGAGCACTTGTAACTTAGGACTAATTTAGGCAGTGGGAATAAAGCTGTTTGGAAATCCACGACTCTTGTTGTTTACATCTTCTCGATCTGTGAATATAAAATCGAACTTGACATTTCTGTGCCAAATCCGGCTTGTGGAACGCACCAAGGTGACAGTATTGTCAATGATGGCACGAGAAAAACATTTAAGGACTGCACTGCGTGTCAATGGAACGTGTTTGCGAAATGCTGAGCTAGACCCAAGCAATACTGCTATATAGACAAGGATTAAAGCACTGGCCTAAATCAAAATAGCGCCGATGTTTTAAACGGCGCAGTCATAATCTTTCTTCTATATTTGTACAGTACAGTGCAGTTTAAAAATGCGACTTTGTACTACCAATAGAAATGCTGCTTCACATGAGGATCGAGCGACGTTACTAAGAAGATGTGTCTGTGGGTTAAAAATGCGACTTTACAGATGACGCTGAACATAACGTCTTCTAAAGCTATGTAAATGATCTTATGTTTCAGTAAATAAAAGACTGATAGAATATAAACATGTTTAAATCGCGCAATATTTATCATATTTTTTACCAGTTTAACAACCTCATCTTCTTCCGGACGACTAGGATAAAAATGCAGCTATCTTTAAAAGGCTTTCCAGGTTATAAACTTATACTGGTATCTAAGTATTGGATACACTTATTTTAGTTAACTTAACGATAAAAATATGGAACGCTTCACGAATGTGCGTGTCATCCTTGCGCCAGGGGCCATGCTAATCTTCTCTGTATCGTTCCAATTTTATTATATGTCCCACCGTAGTGAGGACATTTACCAGCTCTCTTCTCCGTCTATATGTAGTGGTGAAATACAAGATGGCGGCCGAGGTGAGGGATTCTATCAAAACATAATTTTTTAAATTATTTTGCTAATTTAACTAGTGTCGCCTTAAAACAAAACATGCTCACTTTTTCTTAAAATGTTTTGGCATATTTTATAAATATTTCACTAATACATTTCACTAATAACTACAACAGAATTATCTTTATTACTTTTAAGGTTAAAACCGTAGGCGCTTATGCTTGGTATAAAGGTCCATTCCCAATGAAACTTTCGTTCTACGTCGACCGATCCAATTCAGCGGGAACTCTTGCTGAATGCAATCAGATCAACAAATTAACACACCATGTTTACAACGTACTCGCACAATCAGCAGCTTCTGTCTTCTACTTTGGGAAGGAGCCCTAATTAGACTTTTACTCTTATTTTTGGAAGACGAGATACTGCGTTGGGATAATATAAAAATATTATAATATTCACAGCATTCTGTAAACTCATATGCAGACCCAGGAGTTTTATGAGAAATAAAATTATGTTGGTTGCTGTTTACTGTTTTAAAAACCGTCAGCAAGAGTTCTTAAGCATTTATTTAAATCAAAGTTAATAATATTTATTTATTCTAGCTACATGTTAGAGCCATCAAACTAGTTTAATGGGTCTCTAATAGTAGCTATTTTCTGCATCATGTTTATGTTTAATTCAGGACATTTTTATATCGACTGGTGTTTATCTGTGGTTTTCGTGTGCAAAATGAATAAAATATACACTTCAACGAGTCACATCAACAAAATATTCATGTCTTCAAGGAATACCTGGCAATTGTCTGGTGTAAACTATTAAAATGTTGTTATCACAGTTGCGGTCACCTACAGTATCTGGCATTTTGTACAGAAACACTCAAGAGTAAAACTAAACGATTGGTCTGCACACGGAAATAGATCCTAATGACTGCAAAGTCAAGTAGGTACATTGTATAAATACCTGTTTGGGCGTCCGTCCCTCTCAATCGGGGTACATGTAGCTCCGCTTCTTTCTTCTGCACGTGGACCAAGTTTCTTCCGTCGCTGAAAATGAAGTTGGCCGCTCTGGTGCTGTTGGTTACTGTTGGAATCGCCTACAATGGTCTGGGCTCCGTGGCTCTCACACCAGATCAGATCATCAAAACTCTGATGGGTAGTGCTCCTCCCTACTGGAAAGTTTGTTTTGCTTTGGACAGCAGTAGCAGCATCGACGTCACTGAATGGCGGTACTCCAAATTAGCGGCAAGGGTGAGATACACATACACTCGTTTTGATCATAAACGCGGTACTGAGAGCGTCAGATTTTATAAAGGGAAGAGCTTCCATTTTGCTTGAAACTTGCACATTTTCTCTCCAATTATTTTGATTCAACGCCAGTTTTTAATTTCAAATTATGAAAACGGATTTATATAAGATATTCACTATCAAGAAAATAATCAAGAAAATAATTCAGAAAGACAGCTGTCAGTGTTAAGACAAGTTAGGTGTTCGTTTTGTTTTAAATTTGCGCATGTCTCTTATGTTTAAAATTGTCTCGGTTATCTATCTTATGGTTATTTAAATTTTTTTCTACGNTTCAACGCCAGTTTTTAATTTCAAATTATGAAAACGGATTTATATAAGATATTCACTATCAAGAAAATAATCAAGAAAATAATTCAGAAAGACAGCTGTCAGTGTTAAGACAAGTTAGGTGTTCGTTTTGTTTTAAATTTGCGCATGTCTCTTATGTTTAAAATTGTCTCGGTTATCTATCTTATGGTTATTTAAATTTTTTTCTACGTTGTTTTTAGACGTTTTTGAAAATTGCGTCAAAACATTTGTTTTCAATTTAAATATTTTTCAGGACACCCTTGCCATCATCAACTACACCCCTGGTGCGAATAGTATACGCCCCACAAGGCATAGGATAAGTCTGGTACGCTTTTCTACCTGGGCACAGGTCATCTTCACCATGGGGAAGTATCCGTTCTTCCCTGCCAATGACCTGGCTATTAAAGACGTGACGAAACTAAGTAAGTTAAATGAATTTGTGAATTTCACTATAACTCATCGCATGTAGACTCCTAGTACACGAGACAACAATTATTTTGTCAAACCCACACACACACACGCACGCACGCACGCACGCACACACACATGTGACTCTAAGGAACTGCTTTATCAGGGACTTATGTAGAACGGTTGTGCAAATTGTTTACGATTCATGCAATATTCCAAACTTTGCTGTAGTGTTATACGTTCACTGCACGTCTTATGTACATTTTTTCTTTTAAAATACGTATTATTAGTAGACAATTTTACCTTGAAATTGCATTGATTTTATTGCTAGCTCCCTCAGTTCATACACAAAGTATCTTTCACTATGTCCACAGGTGGGATGACGCATATATACCAAGCGTTGGCGAAGTGCGATGGTCAGCTTGGTTCCTATGGCAAACGCCTGATTTGGATGACCACCGATGGATATCACAATAGGTGGGGTGACCCGGTGGCCAAGGCAAAGTCCATGAAGGGTAGAGGTACATATACATGTATATTTACACTGGTTGAAGGTTAAATCCCCTGTGAAAATTTGTCTCATTTAACGTTCACCTACAGTACCAATCTATTTTAGAACACTTGGAGTATTTTTTGTAGCCAAATGTTCACAAGCACAACGAAGCTCTGGTTTTGCTTCAAATTAAGTAATTTG